CCCCAAAACCCCAAAACCCCATGGTACTTTAAATTTAACTCAATTTTAGGATAAATTAATGAATTGAGATAGAGCAAGAATAATGAAGTCTTATTAATAATTGTATCTGCGAGATATATAATATTAAATAACTTTAATATATAATGAAATCAATTGCTACAGCTGCTTTAGTTTTGCTAGGATTTGTCTCTTCTCAATAAATTACCAGACCAATCCACGAACTTACTAAGAAACCAGTGCACGAGAAAAACGAAATCAGTCAAGCTAACTGGCCAACCGTTAAGTTCTACAAAGATTACATAGCATCAGGTGATCTCATGAAGTATAACTCTCAAACCAAGACTCTAGAGTCACTCCATGGATCAAGTGTGTTCGCTTAAGTCGACAACACCAACGACAGAATGATTCAAGATTTCAGTGGAGACATGTCAGGTCTCGGACTTGGTGAAATGGTCATCTATATTGATGCCAAGCAACACGCTCTCTATCAAAAGTTCGTGCAAGCAAACCAATGCCACAAAATGGATCTACCAGAAGGATTCTCATTGAGTGAGACTTACAAGCATGCCTTTGACCCAGCTTACAACATCACCTCATACAATGGAGTTGAATCCCTCGAATGGGAGAATAATGCCAACCAATACCATGCCTTCCATGTTAACATGGGAGTTGGTCAATCAGAAACCTATTACTTTGACGTCAAGTCAACTGAACTTATCTGGACTGTCAGAGATGATAAGCAACTTATTATCCACACTCCAAAGGGAGTCTAACAAAAAACCTTCAAAGACTCAGACTTTGTTTTGCCAGTTTGCAAGGGAACTTCAGAAGAATATATGGCTTTCCTCGAATGAGAAAAATGAGAGCTTGCACAAGGTTAAAATGCTCAAATTCCTAAGTTTATCTCTTTAAATGAATCCTATTTGAATCAATATTTCACTATCAATTTATAAAAATGGATCTTCAATTGTATTGAATTCCAATTAAAAGGGGTTTTGGGGTTTTGGGGTTTTGGGGTTTTGGGG